TTATTAAAGACTTAACATAGTTCCTTAGGTGGTATTAAAAGAGAAATAGTAAAAATAAATAAATATTTAAGAAAAAAATAAAGGCAATTTTAAAAATATAAATGTATGAAAGCTTACTTCTAGATTTCTTTATATAAAGAATTTTCATTCACAAAGAAGAAAAAATACTTAAAGTATTAGACTGAATTGAATACAATTTTTAACAATTTCAACAATGTTGGAAATGTATCTTAATATCTGAATAATCAATAACTTTGTGAACAAGACTGAATATCAAATATGTAAATTTTATAGTCTCTTCAAATAGTTCTCAATTCATGAAAAAATTTGATGTCAAAAAATATATCATTGTATTACAAATTTAATGATTTTGAAATAACATAGCCCCAGTATTTATTATATGTATAAATCTGCATTTATGGTTATACTTATCTTAAAACTGACAGTTGATTAAATCAAAATGATATTTGCCACATAAGTTCTAAATACTCTATTACTCGTTCATCAGACATATACTAAGATCCTTATTATGTGCTAGGCAGTTGCTAAACCTGAAGAAACAGAAATCCATACCAGAGTTCCTACCCTTACTGCAGGAATTACACTAAAACAAAATATTCTCTATTAGTTATGTAAAGCATGTTCCAGAAAGGTAAACAAAAGTTTCCATTCTAATAAAACATGCAGAATACCTAATACCATACAGTGATATAAAATAAAACTAGATACTGGGTCAAATCACCTATCCTTCTTTCCAAAAGAGCCACAGACCATGCTGCTGTGTTCTGCTTTATATACAAAAATCTTTAAATACACTTCAACTCCTTGCTATGTCTTCATCTGTTTTGTCTTAAATTGTGTGTTCCTTGGGTTCAGACATAAGAGTGAAAAATACTTCTTTAAAATAGTTTACAGCTGTGGCTAGGCATTAAAATTAGTAGATTTTAGTAGCTCTGTATAATAGATAAGTAGTTCTATAATAGATTAGTAAATCTAAGTAAATATAGATACTGGAGCCCTAAGCTAGACCCAGTGGACAAAGTCTTTGGGGATGGAGCCCATGTGCCTAAATTTTATACAGCTCCATGGGTAGTTCTCATGTACAGTAAAGGCTAAAAGAACCACATTTTTAAAAAGGGGGGGTGGCATCTGGGTGTCTAAGTCGGTTAAGCATCCAACTCTTGATTTCAGCTCAGGTCTTGATCTCAGGGTCGTGAGTTCAAGCCCTGAGTTGTGCTCCACGCTGGGTGTAGAGTCTACTTAAAAAATGGGTGGGGGGCTGGCAAGGGGGGGTATACAACCTGTGTAAAGTAGAAAATGTTAAAGCTGTATAGGACCTTAAAGATCAACTAATCAATTCATTTTCTAAAGTACGAATCTGAAATTGTGAGAAGTTAAGTAAAATGTCCAAGACTGCATAGTTATCAAAGCCAGGAAGAGAACCCACATGGACTAGCACGCGGACTAGTGCCCTTTCCAGCACACAAAGCTGGCTAGTCCACTTGGGAGGGAGATAAAGTATTAATGCTTGATTCATTAGCTTAATCAATATAAGCATTCATATAGTAAATTCTCAGGGAAATGTGAATTAAAAACAACAACAACAACAACAACAACTACAGTTGACCCTTTAACAATGTGGAGGTTAGGACACCAACCCCCAGCACAGTCAAAAATCTGCATATAACTTTTGACTCCCCAAAAACTTAACTACTAATAGTCTACAGCTGATTGCAGGGCTTGTAATATGGTCGATTAACACATATTTTGTATGCTGTAAGTTTTAAAAAAAATTCTACCCAAAAAAACTGCTTCCTAACCTATGTAATTTAATTAAGATAAAAAAGATCCAGCCCACATACAAGACTGTACAAAGAACCTATCAACATGGTTAGACATTTAGTGACTAAACAGAACTGTGAAGGGTATTTTTCTCCATTCATTTTAAATCACATATTTCTCTACACAAAAGAAGAAGGAACACTGATATTCAGAATGCATTAAAAAATTATGGCTGATTACATAAGCTTAGAGGTCTTAGCTACTCTGCTATTTTTCAGTTGTCAAGCTATAGGATAACTGAATAATTAGAAAACTTTAGGTAAGTGAATTAAATTGAAGGAGATTATACTGTATAGTGGAATGAATGGGTGTTAAGAGTCAGATTGGCGCTCAGATCCTAGCTCTCCCATTTCCTAGCTGTTTGATCATAGGCAAAATGTTTAAACCGTCTGAGCCTCATTTTACCTATAAAATGAGTCTAATAATTTCCCCCTTGCCGAGTTGTGATGAAGATATTAAAAAAGATAACGTGTCACTCCTTTGCTTAAATCCTCCAATGATTCACTGTAACTTATAAAGTCAGTTTCAAACTCCTTCAAAAAAGTATCTGCTTATTTTCTGAGAGAGGAACCATGTTTTCTGGTCTCAACATTTCTTAAAACATCCAAGTAGAAATGCCCAATAACTAGACAAAGTGTAGGCTTAGAGTCAGAGCACAGGGAAGGGTAGACAAGCAAAGTTCAGTGTCACTGTGCAACCAGTCAATAACTTACTCAAAGACTGATCTTTTCGTACTTTGGATATACCAGTATTTATTCTTCCTACTTGATAGCATTGTCATGGAGTTACTTCTTAATCTCTGCTTAACAGAAATTTTCACAGTAATGGGTTAGAACAATTTTTTAAGTGCCCTAGGACAAGTAAACTGCTTACTCCACTCCTCCCTTAGTATTTCATAAATTTTCCACTATGACAAATATGGTGATTTCAGCTTCTGTTTAAATAATCCATTAAATTGTTAACCTTTTAGTTTTTCTCCTACTCTCAAATGAATTCTCTGTTGTTGCCTTGATACTAAAATTTAGCACATTCCAAGTGGAATCTGGACTCTAGTTACTTCCAGACTCAATAGAACTAAGCATTTTCTACTCTCTACCAGATTTTTTTTCCAGGTATTCATGCAATTGTTTCCTCAACCGGAGAGTAAGCACCTCTAAAGGCAAGAACCATGTTATATCATCTATTTCCATAGCACTTAGCCCAGCAGCTCCAAAAATCTATGCCACTTGTATATACACATATTTAGTAATATCTTTGTTTTGTCTTAATTTTATATTTCCCAAGTCAAATAATTAAATTAAAACTATTTTGTAGCCTATCCTAACTACCACTTACTGAATACTTACTACATGTCACTGTATTTTTTTAAACTACAAAATATTATATTTTATCAACTCTAACATATGAGAGACTTATAAGAAATCTCACAATTACTATGAGGTATCACTGATTAGAAGACACATACCATTTTCAGAGATCTTAAAATGTAAAAGAAAAAAATGTACATCTTACAGTTTTAACCTCACTTTAGAAACTGAAAGTCAGAGAGTGCTTAATAACTCTGTCCAAGGGGCGCCTGCGTGGTTCAGCTGGTTGGGCGTCTGCCTTCAGCTGGGGTTATGATCTCAGGATCCTGGGATGGAGCACCGCATTGGGCTCCCTGCTCAGCAGGGTGTCTGCTTCTCCCTCTCCCTCTGCCCACCCCACAGCTTGAGGTGTACACTCTCTCTCTCTCTCAAATAAATAAATAAATAAAATCTTAAAAAAACAAAAAAACCTCTGTCCAACATTAATACCTCTTAATGAGGTTAGTAACCTGTGGCAATCCCCGGTAACTGGTAACTGGGAGGGAGAAATGGATCAAAAGCCAGGGATTTTAACTACTTCCTCTCCATTATATAAAATATGTACATATCCAATGTGTTGATATGCTCAAAAGATTACTTTTAAAACTGTCTTGCATACATTTCCCCAACCTTCTTACAACAGAAAATAAAGTTCAAAAATGCATTGCCCCCCCCAAAAGAAAATACATAATAATTACTAAAATCTGAGATTCATTTTGACATATTCTAGGCAGACAAATATGTCTGACTTTATTAATTGGAATATTTTTCGTCTCAAAATGGCACCACATACTGCAGTTTGTTGAGAATACAAAGGGATCAGTTAAGTCTTTTTCATAGACAAAATATGTATTACAAGTTAAGACCAAAGTGCCTTGCCAATATACAATTCAACATTTAAGAGTATATGATTTCCAAATGATTGTGCATTTTCACCTAACAAGCAGATATAGCATTTGATAAAATTTATAATCATACAATAATACAATTTCAGTTATCTCCTCAGATATTCAGTCACTTCTACTAAATATTTAGGTTATTGAATTATAAATACTACATTAAATAACATGGAATTTAATTCTAGAATAAGGAACTATTCTATATTTTATCCTTAAGTATTTGCTAGTAGAATAGAAAAAGGAACATGGCAACGTGACATCATATTCAACCTTAACATAAGTATGTCTTAGTGAGAAAGTGAATTAAGAAAAGGCAGATGGAGTGGTAATCAGGCTGGTAATAATTCTGGAATGAAAATTTATTTCAGTAGTAGCATTTTTTTAAGAATTGGTAGGAGCATTTAGAAAAGTGAAAACTTAGAATCTTAAGTGAGCCTCAACTATAAAACAAACAGACTAAATTCCATTTCTCCCACCTTCTCTCTCGTTTCTCTCTCTGTGATAAATGTCAACATTACAAATTATTTTATCCTAAGAAAGGAGTATCAGATCTGGAGAACATAGAATAAAAAGAAAGGAAAAAGCCAGGATTATTTTCACTAAATATATATATATATAATATATATATATATAATATATGCAGAAGTTATTATTAAGTAAATTGTCATCTTCTTTTAAGAGTAAAAGCAATTGGTAACCAAATATTAAAATAGTTAGCAGTTTCTTTCAACCCAAGATCTGGTTCCAATATGACCTAACTAAAACAGATTTATAGGTCAGATTCACTCAGTATTATGAACATCACATATTTCTCAATTTGTTATATAAAGTATCACAGAATTCACTACATTTTATGTTCTAAAAACAGCATACTATGAAATAAATCATATTTATGTCAAAATTCTCATCTTACTTCTCCATTTCTTAATGTTGTGATGGTTCCTCTTGCTACTGCCATTCTAAATAGTGTTTCTGTGGCCTGTGAATTAAAAAAGCAAAAATATATCATTCATAATCTGTACTCAATTGTATACCCCCTCCAAACTGTAAAAAACATTCATTACTATTACATTTCCAGCAACTTCTAGAAAAGCATCAATAAGTCGCAATAAGAGCTACATGATCTCCTTATTTCAGAAATATCATTTTCAGAACCTCTTACTTAATGACATTAAAGATCTCAAACAGAATTGTTTTGAAGGTTATTTTGATCTGCTGGTATTCATCTATGTCTACAGAGTTTCAAATTAGTACACTTAGATAAATTTAAACCTTAGTTTGATTAATGAAGATTAAGTAAAAAGCTAGTACTTGGATTCAATTCAGAAATTATTATTTATTCTGATTTTTTAGTTTCCATTTAAGTTCAGTTCAAATCACTTGACTGCTACTGAAATACTGACAGAAGATGAAGTAATTCACTGATTCCATATATAAAGTAACACCCCCCAAAAATTACTGCTTTCTATATACTAACAATGAACAATCCTAAAAGGAAATTAACAATTCTAAATAAGGCTTAACCAACAAAGCAAAAGATTTACTTGTTCACTGAAAACTACACACACTACTAAAAGAGATAACAGAACACATAAATAAATGGAAAGGCATCCTGTGTTCATGAACTGGAAGACAACTGTTAAGAAGTCAACACCACTAAAAATGATCTATAGGGTCAATGTGAATCCTACCAAAATCCCAATGACTTTTCCTACAGAAATACAAAAGTCCATCCTAAAATTCACACAGAACCCAAAGGACTCCAAATAGCCAAAACAATCTTGAAAAAGAAGAACAAAGTTAAAAGACTCACACTTCCTGATTTCAAAACTTACATCAAAGCTATGGTAGTCAAACAGTGTGGTACTGTCACAGACAAACATATAGGTCAATGAAATAGAATAGAGAGCCCAAAAATAAACCTTAGCATACATCACCTAATGACATTCAATAAGGGTACCAAAACCATTCAATGGGGGAAAGGACAATTTTTTAAAGAAAATATCCACATGCAAAAGAATGAAGTGGACCCTTACCTTATACCACATACAAAAATTAACTCAAAAGGAATCAAAGGCCTAAATATAAGAGCTAAAACTATAAACTCTTAGAAGAGATAATAAGGGAATAGCTTGATGATTCAGTGTCTCATGAGGACCTATTTCCTGGTTCCTGGATGGCTGGAAGCAAAGAGAAGCAAGCTCTTTCTCTGCTCTCATAAGGGCACTAATCCCATTGGTGAAGGCTCCTCATCTAGTTTGAATTACCTCCCACTGAAGGGTGGGGTTTTGACGTGAATCTGGGGGCAATAAAAACATTCAGTCCATGAAAAAGTATTCCAGTCAGATGGGGCAAGAAACACAAAGGCCAGTAGGTGAGATCATGCTTGGCATGGACAAAGACAAGCAAGATAGCCAGTGAGGCCAAAAGAAAAAGGTTTCTTGAGAGTGTGGTTGGGAAGAGAGGATACAAGTTCATCTGTTGAATATGTGCTTCTAATTTTTAACCTGGCCCAAGAGGAATGCGTTTCCAACCTTCACTAATAGAAAACAGAATTCAAAGGATGCTCTGAAAAACATAAACTTTAAAGAAATAGTAATTCAAAAAAACAAACAACAGAAAAGGGCAATCCTAAATTTAAAAACTGACTGCACCTCTAAAGAAATCCAAAGGGTGGGAGGGTTGGAAACCTGGAGGAAAATGGAATAAAACTGATATATGTGTATGAACTTAGTGTGACCAGTGTAATATAAACAGCAATGTAAACATATTAATATAGATATAAGGAAATAAATAACAGAAAAAATACGTGAAAGGTTGCAAGTGGTTGCCGCTGGGTTGTGGAAATCATGCATCAGAAGAGGTAAAGAAGAGCGCTGCTCTTTTTCCATTAGCTTCGCAGCATGCTATTTGACTGTTTACACTACATAGACATCCTTAATCAAAACTTTTTTTTTAAACTTTTAAAGGCTGATTTTAAGTAAATCAAGAGTGTCCAATTTTGCAAAGAGGTCAAATACTTTACAATTTCAATCGAGTGGTGCCTACAAGAATAAAGTCAAGGACTGAATAAAAGGATATAAAGTCAAACAGTGTACACCAACTCTTTGAAAACGTTTGACAATAAAGGTAAGAAATGACAATGAGTTGTTGCCAGAAAGAACAGGGTTGAGAGAAAATTGAGGACAGTATACTTTTAGGATAGAAGAGATTTAAACAAGTTTTTAGAGGCTAAGTGGAAGAAGTCAGTCAGGTGGAAGAAGTTTAGACACAGGGAGGAAAATGGATCCTGACAGAAGGGGATTCCTGTGGAAGACAGGATCAAAAGCACACAGCAATCTGTTAGCTACGTTAAAAGGGAGAAGGTACAAATATAGGGAAATGCTTTCCCTCTCCCTCCCTCTGCTCTTCGCCCTCCCCTCCGCCCTCTTCCCCCCTCCCCCACCAAGCTACTGGACAGGATAATCTTCTGAGAATGACAAAGATACTGACTGAAAGAAAGATGGGGGTGAGAGTAAAAGTAAAAGCAAAGCAGAAGGTAATGGAACTGCCAAGCAATACGAAAAGCCCAACTAAGCTGAAAGTCATACATCTTTGTTGTCACAAAGCTACACAGTTACAGAATTAGAAAGCTAAGAAGACTGCAGTTTAGAAATTATCAAGGAAAAGTAAGCAACCCTAGACAGGATAGGAATTAAAAAGTAACAACTTTCATTTCAACTTCATTGGTAAAATATAGCATATAATTTATCCATAAAAGCAAAATTTTTCTAACATTTTCTAAATGAGAAGAGCAATCTTGAGAACACCCCTATACATACACACACCCCCCCCCGAAAAGCGGGAGGGGACGGGTGGGTATCTACACACTAAGTTAAAAAATAAAAAATCTTTTAGAGCAAACGCTGCTAAATTTACGATATGAATATAATTCCAATTCATAATTCACTGAGAGAGTTAAAATGGGCCATTGATGGAAAAGGAAAGGGGTTATTCACATACCCATACAAAAAACAGATTTATAATGAATGATTTTGCTATGACAAATGAACTTTACTAAAGCATGTAAAACTAGATGTTGAAAGATCTATTCACAGAAATTGTTACTGAAGGAAAAAAATTTCTCACCAATGATGTACTTGCTTTTTTCTATTCTTAATGATATGTACATTAAATTACATCTTTCATCTTCCTATCTTCCTATTTCGTTTTAAACCTTATTTAATCTAGTGATGTGATTAACAGTACTCATCTAGGTCAGGTTAGTTACTGTATATATTTGAGAAGCAAAAGGTGACAGGCAGAGGCAGCAAGCACTTGGGATAAAGTATGCAAAAACTTCTCTAAACCAGATCAAATTATTTGCTTTTTTGTGTCTCAAAAACCCGAGGTAGTGTGAAGATCTAATTCTTCTGCACTTTCTCCAGTAGAATAATACCAAATTCAATCTTTTGTTTCCAACTAAATTGATTTATTTCATCAGCTCTTCCCACCAACGTTTTCAAGGATGTCTCATTCTAACAGCACTCTGTCAATTCAGCTCAGCTTCCTTTGATTCTATAGGGAAGCACTGGAGTGTACAACATTCTTTTGACCTCTACTAGAGAGATTGCTTTTAATTTACTTGTACCCAAACAATGTCTAAACAATGTCTAACAAGTGTCAAAAACAATGAGATACAGGGCTAACTCTTAGCATTTGTAAATTGACCACCAGCAAATTCTTCACTGAAATTTCCTTCTCCTTGAGTTTTGATAACAACTAAAATGACTACTACAAAAACATTCATTAAACATTTTCCGACAGTGGCAGGGTAAAAAACATCTATAGGTCCTTATTTAAAAATAGGTTACCAAGAGAGACTGCTTTTTTAAGAGTGTTAGATAAAAGAGACTTAGGAGACATGAAATCTAGATGTAATACATGCAAAGTTCTGGGCTGGATCCTTGTGTTTGTCTGTGTATGTGTGCAAATTGAAAAAGATCCAGGATTTATAATGAATTGGTAACAGCAGTAGTCTCTGGGTGTTTTCCTTTTTCCTTACTTTCTAACATTCTATTATACACACACACACACACACACACACACACACACTTTTGGTAATAATAAAAAGGAAACAAAAAAAAGTAATTTTTGCCACACTAAAAGATAAAACAGATTTAAAACAGAATTTTGGAACAATGTAAATGCTATACTATAACACAAGCAGTACTATACTGAGTAGCACCCAAAGTGAAGATAACCAAAATTCAAGAGACTCATGCTTTATAGTCTAATAATTTTTCAATCAATAACCAACACAAAGTAAGTAAAATTAAGAAGAAACATATCTATTAAATATATATCTATTTAAAGTATATAAATATACTTTACCTTGAAAAGCAGTATAATAGCTTTAAAGTACCATATTACAGTAAGACCTCAGTACATTAATTTAATTTGAAGTTTACTGATATAAATACAAAAGTTGTATTTAGCAGGCATTTACTTCCTATTAATTAAGCAACTGGAATTCTAGTTATCTTATTTCCACTATTTGCAATCTGGGCAACCTCTGACAGATCATTTAAACTCTTTAAGCTCTGACCTCCTCTGTAAAAAGGTAACAGCTAATATCAACCCATCTTCTTGTGTTGGTTAATGCAGGTATTAACATATGTGAAAAGCTCAGTAAAGGGCTAGCTAAATACAAAACAGTGAATCCAAGATCTAGTTAGAACAGCACTTTTGCAATGAAAAGATGTTTAAGAAATACTAATTTTGACTTTTTAAATGTAAAAATAAAAATTGGACTAATGAAAGACCAAATATGAATGAGCTTTAATCATACCTGTGAATCTAAAGAACAAAAAATCTATGTCAAAAAGTCATGGCACTTACTGTTCTGTGAATCTCTCTTGATTGTCCTGGTTTGCCAACTAAACAGAAAGATCGTGGAGGGCATGAATTCAATCTTTTATTTATGTATTCCCAGCACCT